TTTACTAAATAGAGAAGAACATCCAAGAAAGAAAATGGAAGAAGAATATATCGGTTTTGAAGTAATAGACTTGACTCAATTAACAAAAGAGAAAGATGTACGAGAGACGAGATTGGAGATGATTTACCATTATCCACTCTATAATATTACGTAGAACATGATCGAAAAAATACGGCGTCAGCGATATACAATGAAGATCGCTGTCATTTTATATTTAAAATTATATGGGGAATGTCATCGATCGTCATTTCCAAGCCAACTGACGCCGTTTTTTTTCTCGATTATACGGCACTATAACATAGGCCACTCTGACCCTGACTAGTTTAAAAAACATTCTTTTTTCTTTTTTGTAATGTTTTTACAGTTTTGAAATAAAAAGTTAATATTATTTAAAAACTTTTTTAAATTATCAATGTTACCGTCATATTACGTAATATTATTTGTAATATTACCGATTTATAAATTACCGGTAATTTTACATCACTACGTATAGCCTTTAGCGTATAGCCTTTAGACCAGCTCTCCATCCAGGATGGAGAGCTGGCCTCTGTGGAGCCGTCTCAGATACTGACTTTTCTTAAAGCCCTGAGACTGTATGATGAGTTATAACTCGTTATAACTCAAGAAAGGGGAACACACAATAGATCTATAAGGTCGCGGTGATTAACTCCCCTCCTAAACATTCTACATTCATAGCCTTTAGCGCTATATTACAGCCCTATAAAAAGGTATAGCTGGCTCTCAGTAAGGTATAGCTAACTATGACATTAATTCAATCAAAATTGGTAAATTAACCAAAATTACTTATTTTCTTTTCTATTATAGGTACATATAAGAAAAAAATAACTGAAAAGTTGAATTTTTGACATTCTATTTTACATATTTTTATGGCTTCTACAAAATAGTAGACATGACCATAAAATTTTGAAAATTTCAGTGTTTATAGGAAAATTAATATACAAATATGACATATCGACACTAAGTAACATAAATGCTCAAATTTTATAGGAAAATTTACTTTTTATTATCTTGTTTCTGCGCTAGTTATATTGTAGTTAATGGTTATTTCTATAAGTTTTAAATAGCCAATAACATTAGTTTTGTCTAAAATCGGAGTGTTATATTTACGAATCTCAGAAATATATGTAATAATATATTTATAAAATTTTTAAAATTTAGCCGTAAATATACCGGTACATATATTTTTATAATCTACGTCTTTCAATAACAGTAGTTTGATCAAAATTAAAATTTATATTATTATTCTTAGTTATTATTTATACATTATATATTATTGGTGTAGACAATCCATTTCAGTAAAATTATGAATCCTACCAAAAAGCTGGCAACCATGTAGTAACTATAGTTACGCCATCCACTCTGTGCCATCTATATGCTAGAACCTGTATTAGTATTGGGATATCATAAAACAGAAAACTTTGTTAGTATAAGAGAAACCTGTAAATTTACTTAGTAGTTTTCTTTTAAATATATTTTTCATATTAATAGAAATCTTCTTGTAGAAATCACAAACTAACTTTAGTCTTTGTAGAAATCCACCTCCAAATAAAAGCGTTTTGTACCTTTTATAGTAGAGATGGAGCTTTGTCTAAAAATGATTATTAATAATTTTAAAAATCATTTTCTTCTTTAAAATATATATATTTTTCAAATATGAAAAGAATAATTCATTGCGTATAAGATAATATTTGCCTTTTGTGATTCTGTTTTGTACATTATGTTTATAATTTTTTTGTGATCTTTTTTGTTTTATTGAATCATATGGTATACTAATGTAAGCGATATAATCAAAGTTTACAGAATTATACTCTGTAAACTTTAATATTAACAGATGAAACCAAAACTTTATATTTATAGAGCTCTTATATTGGAATTCCATCTCTGGCTCTTATCATCCAAAAAAATTAAAAATGGTTTTTACATACTAAATCTAAAAATACGATATCTAAAAAAGCGTTATAAAGCGACTGAAATATTTTTCAATCAGAAAGTTATCACTCAAAAGTGTAGTTATCATTTAAAGGTTAATACTTTACTGCTTTTAAGATTTATAAGAATTATGGCTTTAATGACAAGATATATTACTTTGAACTAAATAACAGTTATACTGTCGGACTCTATTCCCTATCGGCTGTGCTATCGGTTAATATTTTATCAACTCATCATGAAAGAACAAAGATTTCAGTCATTTCTTAGTAAAGGAAGTGTTTGAGACCATGAATATCATAATAAGTAATTATCTTAATTTGATTCTTACAAGTCATATGGTGTGACTTGGAGAAATAAACTATGTAAAATACATATAGTTTATTTCTTAAATATAAAAACTATATTTATTATTACATATAAAACACATAATAAAATAAAGATCCACAATAATATGTCCAGAGAAATATAAATTAATTAAAATAGTGCGAAAATAGTGGAATTTTTCCTGTTCTATCGCAATACCTAACAAACTTATTTTTAACAATTAATTTAATAATGAATAGTGCGCAATAGAATTCGCTTCTAATTCAAAATATTGAATAGACACATATTTTTGCATATATTAATACATACTAAAAAAATTCCCTCGATTTCTGTGCACCAATATACAGTGTGGTCCAATGACTAAAGAATACAAGGACATGTAATCAGGGTTCGGAAGTAGTTAATTAAGACGTAATTTACCGTATTATTAACTACGTGTAGTTTTTCTTCAAAAACTACGTTTTTTCCCGTTCATTAACTACATGAAAACTACGTTAATAAACTATATATTGATATTATGAATAATTTTCCTTTGTATGAGGTGTAATAGAGATAATATGATGTAAATATTATATTTAAACCCATATTTCTTGTGTTTTCTTAAATACATTATGTGTTTTTAAAGCTTCAACTTATTATAACCTCACCTCAAACCTTTGATATTTGAAAGTTACATACATAGGTTACATAAACTACACCCTTTACATAAACTACATTAACTACATGTAATGTAGTTTGTGTAGTTTTTAAAAGTAACATGTAGTTTTCCGAACCCTGCATGTAACGTCCTTATACAGGCCGCAGCAGAATTTGTGATGTTAGACGCCATTTTTTTGGTTGTAACAAATGAGCTGTAACGTCATCACTTGGTCATCAGTGACAATTTTAGCGATTTTTAATAGTTTGCGTCTAGTGAACTTTGTATAAACTTTATTACAATGGTGATTAGTTGATCAGTTTTCAAGTGTAAAGCCGCAACGATAAGAAAGAGCCAGGAGTTACGTATCATAGGTAAATAAACAGCCCACTCACTTATTGAATTCGATAATTATTTTTCTGCTATTATATGTACTTGATATGTGCTATACATCGATAATAATTTTGTACTTTTTGTTAACATTTTAATACGTTTTTTTTTCGTAATTAATTAGTATTATACCACCGCATCCACCATAGGCGTAGTCAAAATATTTATCAAAAATATAAATATCTCTTCATAGCGGCTATGTTAAGAAACAGATGTGCCACGGCACTGTTTGGTGGTATGGTAACAATTTGGTTGCAGGTGTTATTTGTCCTTGCATTCTTTAGTCATTGTTGTCCGAATTGTATTTGGGAAACTTCGGAAGCATATTCTATGTACGTTGACCGATGAACGTCACTTAGGTACGTTTTTTGTAAAAGTTAAATTTAGATACTCGCGCATCAATAGAGTGGTTCCAACATGACATTCATTATGACACTCCCCCTCATAATGAAAAAAAAATAAAATTATTTATATCATAATTATGCAAATTCCAGGGATAGGAAGAGGTGGACCAATTGCATGGGCCTCCTCGATCGCCTAACCTATCAATTTTAAATTTTTTTTATGCCGTATGGTTAACAACAAGGTTTACAACAGAACTTATGAATTTAGAGAGGAACTCGAAGAGGCGGTACGGGAGAAGTTTATTAAGTTTTAGTTTGTGTAATGTAAATTGTAAAGAACCGTTTAATAAAATATTCTCTCTTTTTATAAGTTATAAATCATAACAGAATAAGAATACCATACCAACTAAGTGAAAATAGTAAAAAAAGATAAGAATTAACTATAACCTAGTAATTCTTCGAAAAAAACATATACAATAGCTTATATCACTAAAAAGCTTAAAAAGTGGCGCTTTTTATGAAGTCATGGCCAACTATGGTTTCCATTTAAAAAAACATGTTTGTGTCATATGTCAAAAATGACAAGCTTTAGAAAAAATCGGAGAACACAAACTCATTAGGGATGTCATTATCTACAACTTTTATCTGAAAACTTTTTGTATAAAAGTGATTATAATGGAATTAGGAACAATTTTTAAAATAGCCAAAATTAGTTTTTTTTCGAAATATCTAGTAAGCCATGAACTTTTTCAAAAATCTGAAAGGCGCACATTTATGACCCCACAAAACTGCAATTCTTTCCCCATTTAACCGACTCTCTATCTCCAGTAGTTTCCGAGATACTCATAGAGCATAGAGAACATCGTGGGAAACTCACTCTGTATACGTGAATATAATATTTTGTATTGAGAACATGATATGTAGGTATTTATTTTTAAAAAATTTTATATAGTTTTATGTTTGTTTAAATATTCCAATATAGAACTAGTTGCACTTTTCTCTAAAAACCGTAAAAATGGAAATTTACGTTTATTATGTTAAATTTTTGCCTAAATTTTAAACGTTTTATTTTTGAGAGATACTGTTTTATTTTAGTAGACAATGAAATAGAGACTATTATCAAGAGCAAGTAGGTGGACTTTAAAAACTCAAATTTTACCCGTGTGTCCTAGATTCTTCGCCACATTATAAATTCCACTATCTCAAATGCTAATAATAACATCTCTTAGCAAAATAAGTTTAAATCTGTCCAAAAATTGATAAAATGTTTTTATTAGTGATCTAGTTTCTAAAATAGAGAGAAACAACAAAAATATCCTATTAAAATCAGGGACAGTTTTAGTACTTTTATCAGTACTCTTACTATCAGAGCAGATACGGTAAATCTATTCAGCCAATGCAGGGATTGGATTATATTTAAGTCGTTTATTATTTTGTGAGTGAAAGTACAGTCAATCTTCAGTGTCTTCGAGACGCTGCTGTTGGTTAGTGGTAATATTTAAGAAATGGTAAGTTTCTACAAAACATTCTCGATTTTAACTATTAAATTTATGATTGTTTAACAACTTATCATCAAGTTTACATATTATCTCAAGTTATTTTAACAATGGTAGTTTTATAGTTTAAAAAAGACAATATTTTACATTCTTAGATTTTAGAAAATTTAAATACCTATTTTTCTAGTTTTATTTACAGGTTTTTCTGCAAATAAATAATTAAAATATCGTACACATAACACCAAAATTTGAGAATAAAAAAGAATAATTATTTGTTATAGAATATATACTAACTTTAAAATAACATATTATTTTCTATAATAGTAAACTTGTATGTAGTAATACTATAATATAGAATGAAAAACTCACAAATTAATTATTGATAAAAATCTTTGTATGTTTTTTTTTTCAAATAATTTTCAATAACTGTAAAAAAACAATTCTAATTATTATTTTTTAATTTCCAGTTATTTATATTTCATACATTATATTTTTTTATAAAATTATCTATTCCTAAGGTAAATGTCAGGCGTAAATTTGAATTTTATTAATATTAAGCAAGGTTGTTCTCATTGAAGGCATTTTATAATAAAATCAGTTATTGCTCATCAGTCATTTTCGTCTATACAGAACTATTTTTGCTATAAAAAAATTCTGTTGTACATTTTGAAAATTACTTTTGATATTTTTTACAGAAGAAAATCTCAGGCAAATAGATATACTTTAATTGAACTTTAATTACATAAATAAACGTTTCTTGACGTACTATTATAGTTGGTTAACGTAAAAGAAGTAAGTAATTGTAACACCTAGTACAGTAATAATTTTAGCCAATTAGGAAGTCAATAAAATTCCAAATCAAATGAATAACAAACAAACAACTGAAACAACAATAATTTTTGAATGAATATTATACTACATATCTACAATAGTAGGAGAGCCCAAGCGGGGATTTTGGTATTTAGTCAAGCGCGGCAGAATCAGTGGCGGATCCACAAGTGGGCTTTGGGAGCTCAAGAACTTGTAAGACCTGTTGAACTTGTACACCTATTCTAGGATATTGCCCTCTATTTTAATGGGTATTTGTACATTTTGGTTCTTTCCAAATACCATGACTTTGGTTTTAGAGGAATTGATCCTCATCCCGTATTTCTTACAGGAGCTTTCAAGTCGCTCCACTAAGGTCTGGAGTTCAATATCAGAGTCGGCAATAAGAACTGTGTTATCGGCAAATCTAATGTTGTTAGTGACTTCGCCGTTGACTTTAATACCGCAATCTGTTGAAGAGAAAGCTTCCCGAAAAATCGCCTAAAAATAAACATTAAACAACGAAGGAGACAGCACACATCCCTGTCTTACTCCTCTCTGTATATTGACTAAATTGGAATTGTCATTTTCAACTTTCGTGTGTGCTGTTTGTTGCCAATACTTATATATATTTTTCAGAAGTGTTACATCTTTGCTGTCAACTCCCAACTCATACATTTCGATAACGGTTCACTTAACATAACCAAATATTCTGTAAACTTTGACATAACATATCCCTTTTGAATGCCTATTTTTTTCTGTTCTTATTTTCTACCTCTTCGTATGGCTATCCTCATCATACAAACCGGCAGATTAATTAGAAACATCTGGGGCACAGGCACTATTAATATCTATCCGAAGTATTTCCTCGTGCCTTTTTAATCTTTACATTTTTGAAAACCTGTACACTCTCCCCACACCAGTAAGAGACCATACATTATCATAAAACCGTTTTTTAGCAATCTAATTTTCACATTACAATGTTTCCCCACGACACGCTCGAGGAAATTCATATTTAGCCACTTGGGCTCCCCTACTACAATGCTTTGTCCACAATCAACATTATTATTATTTATTTTGCAGATTATGTACGTCATTACTTGTTTATTGCTGATATTCTTTAGCCTGTTGATAAACAAACACAAATTTATTGTCAACATAGTTAAAACGTTGCCCCGAGATTTTCTGTAAGTTATTAGGCCTTTACTTTACTAATACTGACAATACTAAATTCCAAATGTGATTTTTAGAGCAATTCGACGTATGCTTAAGCTAAACTGGAGACTGAATGAAGTTGAGAAAAACGGAGACACTATTTGCAAGATTTTTGGGCAAATTGCCAAAAAATATCCTCATAAAATAGCTTTATATTACGAAAATGAGAAGTGGACTTATAGAGAGGTAGATAATATTTATACATTTATACAATATGTCATTAAGATAGATACTACTGCAATTTTATTTCTATAGCTTGATTTGTTCAGCAACCAGATAGCAAACTATTTTGCAAGCAAAGGATACGTAAAACATGATACTGTAAGTCTACTACTTGAGAACAGGCCGGAATATATAGCAATATGGCTTGGTTTGTCAAAAATTGGAGTTATTACAGCTTTGATAAATACAAACTTAACTTCCAATCTTCTGATCCATTCTCTGAAAGTAGCAAGTAGCAAAGGATTTATTTTTGGATCTGACTTTTCAAAAGGTAAATAAATATTTTCTAGTTCATAACAAAGTAAGTTATATGTATTTTTTTAGCTGTTTCTGATATAACTGACTCCATTGCCGACATACATTTATTCGAATTCAATGATAAGTGTAAAGATGAATTGTTACAGCAACCTTCAACTTTACCAGACGAGATATTAAATGTAAAACTGAAAGATACGTTATGTTATGTTTATACATCTGGAACAACCGGTCTACCCAAAGCTGCCCCAATATCACACAAAAAGTAATTTTCAGTACACAGCGAGATATCTATGCATATTTTCAAGAGTTTACAAGTTTACATTTCACTTGATGAATATAAGTTTGTTCCACGTAAATTCCAATAATTCTTTAATAAAATTAATAATTCAAATATAATATTAAAAATATAATAAATTAATTCAAACATTTTTATTATTGACATTTAGAGAAAAATGATAACAAAAATTTTTGCTTGTTCTAAAACCATTAATCCCGTTTATACTTTTCCAAATTTCCATACCGCTTTAGAGAAAATTAACTTATTATTAGTCTCATTAACGTATTATATTTTTTTAGGCTTGTTTTTCTTGGTTACACAATTACTTACATGTTAGGATTGACAGAAAAGGACACGTTTTATAATCCATTACCATTATACCACGTGGCTGGAGGTTTATTTGCCATTTCCCAAACACTATTAGTAGGGATTCCCATAGTCTTAAAGAAGAAATTTTCTGTCAAGAACTATTGGACGGATTGTGAGAAATTTGGCTGCACAGTGAGTAAAAAAGCAAACTATGACAGGAATTTTAAGTAACATTTATTCATTAATTTTAGATTTCTAACTACATAGGAGAAATATGCAGATATTTATTAAGTGTTCACAACCCCGATAAACCAGTCAATCATAAGGTTCAAAAAATGTTCGGTAACGGTCTAAGACCGGAGATGTGGGATGCATTCGTTAAAACGTTCAAAATTCCACATATGTATGAGGTATACGGATCTACTGAGGGCAATGCATCTCTTGGTAAGTAATTAGTAGTAGGAAAGCTTCATTCAGAACCTCCCAATTAGTGGAATAAATTAGTGGTTTCAATTACACTTTATATCTTTTAGTTTACGATCATTCACAATGTCTAAAAAACACAATTAAAATTAATAAAATATCCTAGCACATTCCTAGCAACAGCTTGCTATCTGTTGTATCCATAGATAAAGCATAATATTTAGCTTATAAAACAATAAACTTTTGATTTCTAACCAAAATTGTTCTTGACAGGTGATAATCAAAGGCCAAAATGACATTCCTCGCAAATTTTGTAGTATAATTGGTGGAAAAGTCAAAAGTTTGTTAACTTTTTCCACTAATTGAAAATTGCTACCACTAATTATGACGTTCTGAATGCTATTTGGCTTACATTAAAATTAGGAGAACAAACTTCTACGGTTAATTGAAACTACCACTGATTTCGAGGTTCTAAATGAAGCTGAAGCCTAATTAATCATGGTATCTCATTGTCATATTTTAGTATTTGGTTATTTAGATATTTAAATATGTGTAATAATTGTTTCTCAATTTCAGTTAATCTGGACAGTAAAACTGGAGCAATAGGATTTTTACCTATATGGGCAAAATTTTTAACTCCAGAATCTATCATCAAGTGTGATCCGGATACAGGAGAGCCCATAAGAAATTCAAAGGGTAAATTTTATTACTATTATCATTATCATCATCATCTTCAGCTTATTCAACCATATCCAATTATGGTTTGATAATAACCTCCCTCACATATTTAGATACTCTCTTTGTAGTGGGGCCTATTGTTGTCTATTGTTTGCTATGCGGGCCCAAGTTATCCCTGCTAATTTCCTAATATCATGGTCCCATGTTAGGTTTGGCTAGGTCTTCTAGGTCTAGACTTCTTCTAGGTCTGTTGATTCCTCTTGGGAACCATGCTGTAATCTTTGTGGTACATCTGTTATCCGCTCTTCTAGCCAGGTTGGTGTTATGCCCATTGCCACTTGAGAGATCTGATTCTGTAGATGATATTTATTACCTGGGTCTTTTGTCGTATCCACTCTATCCTTTTACGGTCTTTTTTGGTTATCTCCAGCATATTTCGTTCCATTGAGCGTTGTGCGACCTGTAGTTTCTGCCTGTCTGCTTTCATCGCCTCTTTATTTTAATTTTATACTAGTGATGGTCTTGTTTTTGATTTGATTTAGCTTTCCCTGGTGCCCTAGCCTTCCCCCTTGTCATACCTGTTGATTGCATCCTCTTTCTTCTTTCTTCTCTTTTTTTCCTTGTATTTGATTGCATTTTTTGTTTTTTGTTTTATATAATTACTTAATTTGTGTATTTATATATTTTTGAATGTCTGCGGGGCTGTGCGACATAAAAACATTTAATGTTTTTGTATATCGTTTTTTTTTTATAATCGCGACACAGTCCCTTTTACCTAATTTTTCTTTTGTTTGTATATTGGTATTTGGAGAGAAGGGTAAATAAACTATTTGAATTGGAATTTGAATTTGAATTTAGTTTCTTTATAATGTCTGCTCTAAGTGTCCAGGTTTTGCATGCATAAGTCATAACCTAAGGTCATAACTGGTAGGACACATTGGTCGAATCTTCTCGTCTTTAGATAAGGTAGCATTCTAGATTAGAATATGATTGAGTTTCTTCCATAAGTACTTCCTATAAGTATGATTAATAAGTACTTCATGCTAACTAAAAATTCTTCTGTTGATTTCTATTAGTAGAGATACGCTGTGTATTAGTTGTCCCAAATATATAATTTTTTTTCTACTATTTCCGGTATTGTGTTATTTATTTCTAATTTACTAGATATTTAGAATGTCTTTTCTGTCTACTAATTCGTTGTACATTACTTTAGTTTTTTTAAATTCATTTTGACACCTACTTTATTGCTGACTGTATTTAGTTCGTCAATTTGTGCTTGTAGCTCTTCAGGTCTATAGAATTAGAACTATGTCATCAGCGAATCTTAGATGGTTAAGATATCCTCCATCTATTTTTAACCCTTTGTTGGTCCAGTCCAGTTGACAGAAGATTTTTTCTAGTGTTGCTGTAAACAGCTTTGGGGATATCGCATCTCCCTGTCATACTCCTTTGTCAGTTGGGAGCTCTAGGGTTGTTTTATATATCATTACTCTTGCTTTGGCTTCTTTGTATATATTGGCGAGTTTCTATATAAGACCTGTCAATACCTTTTTTCTGTAGGACTTCTATTATTGCCTTAATGTATATAGTTGAAAGAGTTAGCTAGAGTTGAAAGCCTTCTCAAAGTCTATAAAGGCTATGGCTAGTGGAAGTTCATATATTTGTGATAGTTTCACTCAGTGTATGTATGTGACCGATCGTGCTGAAACCGCTTCTAAAGCCTGCTTGTTCTGGTGGTTGTGTAGAGTCTAGCGTGTTTTGTATGCTGTAGTTTATTATTGTAACAAATTACTATTATACCAGATTATTATTATGAATTAAACATATTGTGCAATTAGGTTTTTGCATAAGATGTAAAACAAACGAACCAGGGTTGATGGTGGGAAAAATATCTACCAAGAAAGAATTCTTAGGATACACAGACGAAAAGGCTACACAAAAGAAGATTTTACTAGATGTTTTTACAAGAGGAGACAGATATTTTAACACTGGCGACATTTTAGTACAAGACGAATTGGGATACTTCTATTTCAAAGACAGAACTGGAGACACTTTCAGGTGGAAAGGAGAAAACGTAGCAACTAGTGAAGTTGAAGGAGTTGTAACAGGTTTCTTGAAGTTTTACGATGTTATAGTTTACGGTGTAGAGGTAAATAGATTTCTTATAATTTTTAAGTTAACTTAGTCTTGCATTTCTAGCAATTGTAATTATATTAATTGTAGTCAGTAATATCCTCGATTATGAGTCAATTTTGTTATGAATCAAGGTACCAATTACCTATGGTAATATATAAATAACCAAGAAATTGTATTCGGGATAGTTTATTCTGCAGATAAAAACAAGTAAAAAGTTCGTATAAATTTATGTATTAAAATGCTTTGTTTCGGAGATAGAGGGTGTAGAAGTTTCATTTTTATTTCAATTCTTTTTTTCAAATAATTTCTAAGCTAACGCAGATAATTGGATAAAAATTGGTGTCTGGGTCTTTTTTGGCATGAGAATGACTCCTACTCCTACTTGTAGAGGGACGTCACTTACATATCTTTTAGTTTTTTTGAAGAGTAATAATTTTTTTATCCGTACCTGTATTACAAAACTATTGAGTAAAAAATATACATTTCCGTCGCTTTCTACGTAAAAAATGTCTCTTGGTAAAAAACGCTACGAGTAATGGTTCCCAAGATATTTAGAATCGAAATAGTCAATACATGTCATAATAAAATTATAAAAATTATACATGTTGACTGGATAATTATTAGTCTAATATAATAAATTTGAAATGTTGTTGTGCCAAAGATTCAACAGAAACTGTTTTATCGTATTTTGTTCTAAAAAAATTATGATTAACTTAAAAAAATAAAAAGTTCCCAAATTTATCATTTCAGTCAATAACTATCTCGTCAACATGTTTATTTTTTGTCAATAATGACATGTATTGATTATTTCCATTCCAAATGTCTTGAAAACGTATATTTGAAATGTATATGTATATTTTTTACTCGGTAGTTTCATACAGGTACGGACGAAAAGTTATTACTCTTCAAATTAGTTAAAACATTGCTAAAAACTTAAAAGTGGCGCCCCCTACAAGTAGAAGTCATAGTGACATCGAAATCAAATTTATAATGCAAAAAACTCACCGACACCAATTTTACTCCAAATATAGACGTTAGTTCAGAAATGATTCATAAAAAAACAAAATACAAATGAAATTTCTACACCCTGTATCTATGAAACGAGGCATTTTAGGACAAACATTTATACGAACTTTTTTACTTATTTTTATCTGCGGAATATGCTGCTGAAGTTTCCCTAATACAAGTCGGACCACCCTGTATTTTTAGGACTATCCAACTTTTCCCTTAACAGTGACTTAAACCACAAATATTCATGTTTTAAAGTTTTATCACTCTTTACGTTGTATCTTCTTTTATTTTGAACTGAAAATAATCATCTTTGTAAAAAAGATATATGTATATTAATAAACAAAACAAAATAAATATTCCTCTATTGAACTTAGTTTTGACAAAAAATATATTTAACACGCATCATCTACATTATTCTTCTTTAAATTGACAATCGTTACATCACTACATACATGATAGTTTTCTTAAATTGTGTAAACGATTAATTTCAATGCTCACGGAATACTTTAATTAAACAAAAATTTCAGATACCCGGTACTGAAGGAAAGGCCGGCATGGTAGCCATCGTCGATCAAAGCAAAACCATAGACTTAAAAGAACTAGCCAAAGAACTGAAATGTAAACTACCATCTTACGCCATACCCATATTTTTAAGAATACTCTTATCTGCTCCAATTACAGGAACGTTTAAATTGCAGAAAGTCGATCTGAAAAAAGAGGGTTTTGATGTGAACAGAATAAAAGACGATCTGTACTTTTATGACGCCAAAGTGTCAGAATACGTTCCCCTGACGACTGAAATCTATGAGAATATTATAAGTGGCAAAATTAAGTTATAATTTAATATTTTATGTGACATAAATTGCTTGCATGTTTTAGACAAATTTTAGATTTATATTTATATAAGACTGAGTAGTTACGGTGTTATAAATAAAATAGGTATTTAATATTTTTATACCAGTAAAGAAGAATTTTATAAAATAAAACAACCTCAATATTTTTTTGTTTTATTCATAGCTTTGAATTGGGCTAGTAACTAGAAAACCACGCGTGGCACTCTGTAAATTAAATAGCATTTCGGTGACTGCAAAATGAAAACAGTAAATCACCACAATACACCAAAACACTTTTACTTTTACACTGGACGCGCGTTTCGCTAACCATGTTAGCATCATCAGCAGATCGTTATAAACTAGTTTAAAAAAAATAAAATAGTTTAAATTAGTCTAAAATAGTTTATAATCATCTGCTGATGATGCTAACCTGGTTAGCGAAACGCGCGTCCAGTGTAAAAGTAAAAGTGTTTTGGTGTATTGTGGTTATTTAGTGTTTTTATTTTGCTGTGTAACACCAAAGGTTCCAACCCTCAACTGTAAAATTCGGTGACTATTGTTTTGTACGATTGGATATGGTTCTTAGTGTCGAAAATTGTGCAAAAATCATTGATCTTGTTGAAGATAGTCGAAATTATGAATATTCGCTTGGTCCTTGAAGAAGAATGGAAAAACATAACACAATATATTTGCAGCCTCTATAAATCGACGTCTACAGACAGTTAGAGCAGTCGGGGGAAGCAATATAAAATATTAGGATATTTTTTACAAGTTTTTTGTTTGTACACTTAGTTATTACAGTTGTTATTTTTTTAATATCTTTAGTTTTGTTAGTGTAGCGATCAAGAAGTCTATACTGTCGTTTGGTCATTTGGTTTCCACAGGTTGACTATTAGGGTTTGCGGAACTGGAGCTGTTTTTCGGAACCGAGAATTTTGGTACCATTCCTTTAATGAACCAGGATTTCACGGTTTTCTCGGTACTTTCGGACGAATGGTACCGTTCGTCAAGTCTATCTTCGGCTTTTGATGTATTACATCATTTGAAAACTTACACCGCTTTCAAATGAAGCGGAGCGTCCGCGCGGACCGTCTGCGACTTCGAGCAAGTACCATGAGTTTATATGAACAATTGCACATGGGTCGCGTATGCTCCGTCCGGATGACGATCATATACATAAACACATTAATCTAAAAACACGCGAACGGTCGGCTCCATCTGAAAGCGCTGTTAAATTTGTTTATAAATTATTTCCTCCTATTTTTTGTATTTTTGCGATAAATTCCTACTTACAGCGCTTTCAGATCGAAAAAATAATGTGTTTATGTATATGGCCGTGATCCGGATGGAGCATACGCGACCCATGTGAAATTGTTCATAAAAACTTATGGTACTTGCTCGAAGTCGCGGACGATCCGTTGCGGACGCTCCGCTCCACCTGAAAGCGCTGTCGTTTACTTTAAATATCTACTATAAATTTCAGATTTGTGATACAAATGCTTGGAATATAAGAATAAGTTTAAAAAATGAATTTCTATGTATCATATATTAGAAAAAAGTGTCTTTGGAATAGTTCATAATTATTTGGAGCTACTAAGTAAAAAATTGTAAAAAAGCGCACATTCAGAGCGTTTGCACAAACACCGACAAATCCGGGGCCGGCAACCGGCACCATTTGCTGTCCAATTTAGCGCATCAGAGTATGTGTGAAGGAGGTAATTTATTTTTATTGCAATCGATACCAGTACCGGCAGCACCAGCACCGGCTCCGGTTTTACCGGTGTACGTGCAAACGCTCGAGGACAGTAAAAAATCGATTAAATCACCCTGGCTACGCTTCAATATCCTATTTGTTTGTATTTCCCACAATTTAACCTATACTTTCCCATGTTGTTCTTTTAATATTTCAATATAACCGAATATACAAATGGATAAACAAGTTAGGCCAGTATTTACACTGGAATTAGGTTATAAAATAGTACCAGCACTTGTGACAATCGGTAAATATGACGGAACGCATCCGTGTATTACCGCAGCTACTAACACAGACAAGGTAATACAAAATATATCTATTTTTTAAATGCATATTTTTTATACTTATTGGAAATATAATAAACCTTATAATATATTTATATACCGAGTGCGTCTCACAAGTTAGATAAAAAAACGAGATTTGGTATATACCAAATCTATTCTAACATTAGTATATATAACATAAATTAGGATTGATTGACGTATTCAATCCTTTTCAGCCACTTCCTGTTTCACCGAAAATGACTACAACTTCTGATTTTTAAATGACACCCTCGGTATATTTTTATTTAATTCGATAGAAAATGACACTCTGAATAGAATGACATATTATCTGTCAACTTTTAACATTTTCGCTTAAATCAAAATTAAATTTCAATTGGTGTTAAAAACACTAATTTTTAATCAAGGAGCCTTGAAAAAATACATTTGATCGTCTAAAGTTTTTAGTGTCTTGTCCTGGCCGGTTAAAAGAAGCCCAAATCGTATTTTTAATCATATCTCAATTTTTTCAAATAGAACGAGGGTGGTTCATTAGCTTATTTGGAAAAAGCATTTTTTTACGAATAATTGAACCGCTCTTGAATAACCCCACACTGGATATTTCGAGTCAAATTGTCGTTATCGAGTGGTGTCTCACTTGGGTAAAAAATGTACATGTACTGCGAAGAAGACAGTATATGTATATGTCTGCTATATAATTATAGACTGCCGTAACACTGATGCCAACGGCGGCCAGCGCATCCAGCGACTGCCATGGAACTGTATACAGGTTGTTAATTTGTTTATTTCTCGCGGCAAGAGCTTTATAGTTGAAATATGGCAACCTCGGCCCGCTCGTCAATAGACAACGCGACAGGACGAATCGGCAGAAAACCCTATAAGTGCAGCCGTTCTCAATAGGCAGTGTTGCCATTCTGTTTCCCGTTGTAAGTAACTGTTGAGTTAACAATCTGTATAATTCCAACAGTGAGACACAACCCTTCGTTCATTATGAACCGCATGTTGCAATTTCAAATAAACCATATTCGAAAATGTCAAAAGTTCACATATGATATGTCATTTTATTCAGAGTGTCATTTTGTATCGACTAAAGTAACAAAATAACGATGGTGCAATTTAAAAATCAAAAGTTGTAGTCATTTCCGGTGAGACAGGAAGTGATTGCCGAAAACAATGAATACGTCAATCAATCCTAATTTATGTCATGTACTAACATATAAAAATCTCGTTTTGTACCCTGAAAAAATATGGAGACGGGAGTCACTTTTGAGACGCACCCGGTATTTCATAATTCATAATGGAAATTCTGATACCCGTAAAAAGTTTAGAATTCATGTTACAATTCTTTTTTTCCCTTGTTTGGTTCAATATTTTGATACTTTGTAGATATTAATACACAGTCCTCACAGAAAAAATGCACCAAGTATTGGTAAAATTGTTTGGTCAGAATCTAATAAGGAAATAGCAACTCTAAACATTAACCAAAATATTACAGCTCTAGTATCAGGACAACTTATTCCAAATGAAGAGAACGACGTTCTAATAATTGGTAAACTTTATAAAAATTATCCAAAAAAATGTAGGCATATATATTTTCTTTAATTTAATCAGGTACTGCTTCACATTTACTAGTGTACCACGTTCACGATAACAAAGACATTTTCTATAAAGAATGCGAAGATGGAGTTAAATCCGTTGCTCTTGGTCAATTCAGGACATACAAGACTCCTGTAATTATGGTGGGAGGGAATTCCTCAGTTCATGGTTACGACCACAAGGGTGACGAGATATTCTGGGTAGCCATTGGTGATATGGTGACCTCAATAATGTTAATGGATTACAACAAAGACGGGAATAATGAGCTTATAGTTTGTTCTGAAGACTTTAACATCAGGATCTACAAGGGGGACCAAATTCTCGCAGAACACAATGAAACAGAGGTGGTTACTGGATTGATTTCACTCACAGAGAACAGATTTGGATACTCGGTATCAAATGGTACTGTTGGAGTATATGAGAACAGTCTAAGGCTATGGAGAATTAAAGTAAATACACTCAAATGCAAAAAAAAACGCAACGGAACATTTTTTCATCAAGTTTAAAGTGTTATATATATTTTTTTTAATTTTCATGAATTTTTTAGCAAACTGTATATAAATCTATCAACTTTTAATCATAAGCTGAGTTTTTTATAAACTTTAGTATTTGGCTTGAATCAATTAAAGGGTAATTTTTTACCCTAACTTTAAAAGTTTCTGTGCAATAATTTCATGAGTGACTTTTCCTAAAACATTATTTTTCTATATTCTCTTCAGACCATTTTCTTTTTTCACTCATATCAACAGATGCCTTGCGGTTAATTTTTAAGAGCAAAATATGAACTTTAAGAGCCACTAACAATTTGCAATTTGGTCAACTATCATTACTTTATTATGTTATTTTTAATTGTCAGGAGATAGCTTGTCGTGACTATTATCGTAATATCATATCGACACTGATTACAGAGCTGATTAGAACACTATATTAAAATTTAAAAAACGTTAAAATATATCGATAACAGGCTTGATTTTAATAAATACCGTATGATCGAATAAAAACGGCGTCAGCGATCCTCATTTCATAGCCATCGCTGACGCCGTCGCCGACAACACTAGAAAAACTAAGGATTTAAAAAAAATAACTGTAGTAACTAAATGTACAAACAAACAAAAAACTTCTAAAAAATACTCTAATACTTTGTATTGCTTCCCCCGGCTGCTCTTACTGTCTCTAGACATCGGTTCATAATGTTAATGAGGCTGTCACTATATTATGTTATGTTTTCCAATTCCCTTCTTCAAGGACCAAGCGAATATTCATAATATCGGCCATCTTCAACAAGTGACTTTTGCACAATCTTCGACACTAAGAACCATATTCAATAACTGTACACAACAATAATCACTACAACTACCTCGCCATTATGAAGAATAACATCAAAAAGTAACGATAATTGAAAAATTTGCAAAATGCTTGTAACAAGTTCATTTTGCTCTTGAAACTTGACCGAAAAATAATGTTTTAGAAAAATTTACTCACGAAATTATTTCACAATGTGTTTTAAAGGTAGGGCAAAAAACAACTCTTCCATTAACCCTGTATAATAAGCCAAATACCAAGTTTACGTTGAAGTTGATATATGTATATACAATTTGCTAAAAAAATCAAGAAAATGGGGCTAAAAATAAAAAAAACATAACATTTTCAACTGACCAAAAATGTTTCCGTTGCCTTTGTTTACATCTGCGTGACATTACAAATTTGTTTGAGATAAGTACCAAGTAATAGACAAAAGTATTTTGTTGTGATTGAGTTAATTTTTTTTCAGTGATCTCTTTGAGAGACTTGATTATTTATTTATTTTTATTTTTAAAACGAATACACTAAAGCATGTCCCACGAGATTATGTGACAAATCTCAGTCATTTTAATCTGTGATTTTAATTCATAGGAAAATTGTATTTACTGTCATTTTATGAATGTATATTATAGTATATCGAAATCTTCCCTGACTCGTTGTACAGACATTATGGATTATATGTTACAAATAATATCTTTAATATAAAAAAAATCTTTACAGTCTAAGAATTTTGCTGTAACTATGCATCAGTACGATTTACTAGGATACAACACACCGCAGCTTCTCACAGGCTGGTCTAATGGTAAAATTGACTGCAGAATACCAAAAACTGGCGAAGTGGTATTCAAAGATTCCATGGGAGCTGGGGTAGCAGGAATAGTGGAGGGTGACTACAGATCTATAGGCAAAAACGATTTGATATGTATTTCAGTAGATGGTGAAGGTAAGTACACTTCTTAATATTAATTATTTTGGTAGTACAATAATTAAAATTTGTTTATTTCCATAGTTAGAGGTTATACTACCACGAAAATCGTATCAAGTGGAGGTAGTTCTAACGTTGAACAAGATACCATTAGAGATTTACTGTCTCAGAAACAGGCGCTACTAATGGAGCTCAAACACTACGAGAGCAACATAAAATATAATTTTAACTCTGGAAATCAAACTGATAGCTTTGAAGACAGTGGAGTTATTCCGTCCAATACAAGGCTACAGATTATCGTTAATACTAACTTGGAAGATAAACATCAAAAAGTATGTTAGACTTTTTTTAACGTTGTGGAAATGAATCAAAAGCATTAGATTTTATTTTTTCTCATACAACATTTTAAGCAGATTCGTCACTGTCCATTATCAGGTTCCACTTAATAGCACATAGAGGCGCTTATGTTTGAAACGTTGAATAAGTAAAAATAAAAATGGAGACAATATGTTTTTATAATAAAATTCAGTTTTTAATGCCTGTATATTTTTTTATAGCCACACGTTGAAGTATACATAAGCACCAACAATGCAACTATCATTAAGGCAGTGATTATTTTTGCCGAAGGCATATTCAAAGGGGAGAGTCATGTTGTTCATCCAGAAACATCAAAACTATCATCAGATATGTCAATACCTTTGTATTTACCGCGAGATAACGCTGTCGACATCCACATTAAGGTAATATATGTAAATACTTTTTATTTAGTTAACATGTATTATGGTTTTTAAGGCTCTGATAGGATACCCTAACAGTGTACAGTTTCATGTATTTGAAATAACCAAACAATTACCATGTTTCTCCATGTACTATTTAAAGAAAACTCCAGGAAAAACTAGGCCAGAAGGTAAGGCTGTAATTTTTAAAATTTTTGTCAAAAGTCATCTTCAAATGCCTAGAAAAAGGAGTAGTTTATATAGGTATATTTATATAGGCATCCAAGTGTAGACTTACAGATTTTATTATTTTACTCCAATCATAAATTCTAGACAACAACAGTGGATAGTTCGTATAGTCAAATTTACGGTAGGCCTTATAAGCAAGGGCTGCCTTATAAGACAGGGAACCAGTAGGCTCATTTCGTAGGTCTATTGCTGGGTTTAGGAACAAAACATTAAAAGTACCGGGTGGCCAACTAAGAATGGACGCCGCCGCCGGACAGAAACTACTTGTCGTATAACTTTAGGGAAGAAATTATAAGTGAACTCTGATCAAGAGAAATCGTTGGAAATTATTTTCAAGTTCGAAAAATGTTCGCTAGGGGGCGTTTCTCTGATAGCCAATCAGGAAACAGAGTTTTTCTCAAAAATATGCAGGTGAACAGGTATTTTAAATATTACTGTTGTAATAATCGAGAAATTTGTATTTTTTTATGTACAGTAGTTTGCTCTATCTCATAAAATAAAGTGGTGGGGGAAGGTTAAACTTGCATTTATTAAACTAAGGATAACTCAGGTTTGGGTTAGCCGATTTAAACAAACTAGGACTCGTTTAAAAGAGTTTTTCTTCCTTAATGATCTCCAGTATAAATTTTGTTTCCATAATTTTTTTCGTGGTGGCTAGAGGGCGCTGTTTGACATCATAACAGATATTGCGCTTTTGCATAAAAATTTAAATAGGAGGCTATATTTCACTTTGCACAGTTCAGAGCACAACATTTCCAAAATATCAGCGCAAACCGCAACTTTCTACCTTCTCTTTAACCGGAGATATTAATAGGACAAATCATGTTAGGCTGCCGCTTACGATTATATGGTTTAAAAATTATAGTACTAGGCTAGGAAACAAAAAGAGGTAATGTATGTATGGTCATCGGATTCAATATGCCTGGGTTTTAATTTATGGGCTCGAATCAAGAACGAACATGGATAAATAACAATTAAATGGTATTAAAATGAAATTAAAATATATGTTTTGATATTTTGACCAAGTTATCTTTTTTGTTTCTTAGCCTACTACTATAATTTTTAGACCATATAATCCTAAGCGGCAGCCTAACATGATTTATTCTCTTAATATCTCCGGCTAGATAGAAGATAGAAAGTTGCGGTTTGCGCTGATATTTTGAAAATTTTGCGCTCTATTTAACGGTGCAAAGATAAATATAGCCTTCTATTTAATTTTTTTATGCAAAAGCGCAATATCTGTTATGATGTCAAACAGTGCCCTCTAGCTACCATGAAAAAAATTATGGAATCAAAGTTTATACTGGAGATCATTAAGGAAGAAAAACTCTTTTAAACGAGCCCTAATTTGTTTAAATCGGCTAACCCAAACCTGAGTTATCCTTATTTTAATAAAAGCAAGGTTAACCTTCCCCCACCAATTTATTTTATGAGACAGAGCAAAACACTCATCAAAAAAATTACAAATTTCTCGATGATTATAATAGTAATATTTAAAATACCTGTTCACTTCATATTTTTGAGAAAAACCCTGTTTTCTGATTGGCTATCAGAGAAACGCCCAAAAATAATTTCCAGAGATTTCTCTTGGTTGATTTACTTTGTACAATTTTTTTTTCCAAAGTTATACGATAAAAGTAGTTTCTGAGATACAGCCGGCGTCCATTCTTAGTTGACCACCCGGTACATTAAGAGTTAAAATCTGATGTTCTCACTCTAACTCTAACTATTTTCAATACTTCTTTTTTCTTATACCTATCGACACTGAAATAATTTCATTTTTCAGGATACCTACAATTTAAAATTAATGAAAGATTACAAAGGATATGCATGTGGATCAATCAAAACTTCTTGTTTTCATCCGATATAGAATTCGAATCCGGTCCAAACTTAGTATTGGATATAAAATGTTTAAGAGACGAAACAGACTTAATGCTGGTGTTTGAAATATCTGGAAAAGTTACTTTTTACACCGACAATATGTTCTTAGCCGCTGATTTGCTTCAGTCTCTAGCTGGTTATCTTAAACTGGAAAGCTTAGAAGTAAGAAGTTATTAGGTCATTTATTTTTGTTAACTTAGTGTTATAATAGTCTAGAGCCTCGTTTTTGCAAGAAGAAGAAAACCTGAAAAACCTAATGCAGAAATTGAGTGACATTCAAGAAGCTAGACTGAAACTGGATACGGATGTTGCTGATAGACTGAGTCACATCAGAAACTTGGTAATCAGAGCAGAAGACAGCAGAATTAACGACATGTAAGTCTCTTTTAGTTTAAGTTCTCACTATGATCATCATCATCATTTTATGTAGACTCCCTCACATATTTTGACACTCTCTTTGTAGTTGGGACCATTTTGGTCTATTGTTGGCTATGCGGGACCAAGTTATCCCTGCTAATTTCGTAATAGCATGGTCCCATCTCAGGTTTGGTCTTCTTCCAGGTCTCTTAATTCCTCGTGGATACCATGCTGTAATTTTTGTGGTCCATCTGATGGACAACAAACCAAACAGATTCTATTGTTCGTCTTTCTTGCCAGGTACCAGGTATCCTGTCCATTGCTACTTGAGGGATTTGATTCTGTGGATATGGCATCTATTACCGGTGTCTTTTGTCGTATCCACTCTATTCTGTTACGGTTTTTTGGTTACTCCCAGCATATTTCGTTCAATTGAGCGTTGTGCGACCTGCAGTTTCCTTAAAATGTCCGTTTTAATTGTCCAGGCATGCATCGGTCATGACTGGTAGTACACATTGGTAGAATATTGTCTTCTTTAGATAAAACTCACTATGGTAATGTTAATTAATCTTGTTTCTAGTAAAGAGATGATTAACCATTATAAAGACTTGGATGGTATAAACAAAGAACTAATAAGTGGATACAACATTAAAGTTCATAATTATAATGAAGGAATTGAAACGATGAAAAAAATCAACAACATCCTTCAAAAAGCGTCGAGGCTGAGAGGTATAAAAAATATCAAAATATTACAAAATGTTTTTTATTACACATTTACATATAAATATTAACTTTTTAGTTGGACAAAATTCGGCAGTTATGATCAACCATTGCAGGACAGCTATCAAAAATAATAACATTGAAGGCTTAATGAAAATTATTCGTACAGGAGAACTGTAATAAGTAGATATAAAAATATAATATTAAAAAAATCTTATTTTTTGTATTTTTTTTTTGTCAAATTGAATTTAGTAGTTAGATGTACTGGATTTATATTGTAAATTTATTTTATATACAAAACTATTTTGAATACATATTACAGTTATATGTTATTAAATTATCTATGTACTAATGAAATAAAATTTTTAAATTAAAAATACACAATGTATAATGCTGAAAGAAAAAAACTGTTCAGCAATAATATAATTTAAAAAATCTATTAAAAATATCTGATGAATACGCATTATTTATATACCGCTGCACACTATAAGTGTATCCTTATTTCCGTCGAAAATCAATACATAATACATATAATAAAAAATAAAAATAAATAAATGTACTCGAATTATCAACAGTGCGCTTCTCATCTGAACACAATTCTGTATGGCAGTTAAAAGAAGAACACATCAGATCAAAAACACATGTTTTTGCGTCACTCGTTTTAAAAATGGCAGTAACTCTAATATTTTCGGGTAATTTTCCTTACAGTCAAAGCCCTCTATTTGGCGGGAGAGAATATATTTCATAAATATATAATGAATATTAAATTAATATACGCACTTTCTACAACCAATATACAGAAACTTTAGTTTGAAACACTTTAGTAGGTACCTTTAAATATGTTTTTGATGTATATGACTGGTAAAAATGGGCATATTAAAAATATATATAGCGAATAAACAGCTTTGATTGTAAACAAAAAACTTAAAAAAATTACTATGAATAAAAAGATCTGTACAAAAATAGTTTTATAGCTACATAAGCTAAAAATGTAAACCTTGTTGAAATTGTGCTTAGCTTTATATACCGTTAGATACCAAGATTCGTCTATCAACTTCAGACCACACAGCCAGCACAAAAGCTTCTATATCACATTCGTTGACACCTCTTACAATTCTGAAGTACCCCGCCTCACCCCAGTCGGTACCCCAACTATTTGCAACTTTCTAAAAATACAAACAACTGCGTTAAAAACTCTCCATAATAATTTTACAAACACAAATATTTAGTCAATGAATCAATAACCTTACCCAATATTTCTGCAAACCATTAGAAGTAAATTCTTCTCCCCAACCAACAATCCTCACCGAATGATACCCTTGCTGATGAGCCAGAGACAAATCAGTATGTTTATAAATACCTCCAGTGTAGGAGAAGAAATCATGATAGATCTTTAATGTAGCTGAAATAAATAAATACAATTAAAACCCAAATCAATAATATGCCATACTTTTTCTTTACCTTGAACTGGTCCAGATCTTAGAATTTCGTACATAATATCGGTCTCATTTCCTAACCTATAAGCTGGACCAACTTTGTATCGTCCAGTACGTTCGCTGTACCTAGGAGGAATACAATGAGCTTCTGCCAAGGAACCTATCCTCCTGATAGAACATCTGGTATAATTTGAACCGGTATATGGGAAGCATGGTTCATCAACAACTCTGAAAGATATAATGTAGGCAAATATTTTATTATAATAAACGACAAAATCTTACCCATATTTTCTTACAAAGGTCCAAGCTCTATCAAGCCGTCCTCCTTCACAACCTTTTGATCTTGGTATACAAGAAATGATATTTTGGGCACTTAATTGTACTTCCTCCTTGCCTTTAGATATAATTCCATATCTAGAATAAAGGAAGTATTATTTTTAACCACAGCTTATTGAGTAAAAAAAATGGCGCGAATATAATGTCCTCATGGTATATGTGCTTTATAGACTACAACAAGGCTTTCGAGTTTGTCAACTGGAATAGGTTATGGGAAGTACTCAACCAAATGGGCGTTCCAGATCACTTAATTAACTTAATCAAAAAGATATAATGACTCGAGACTTCCACCCACAAAGAGGTGTGAGACAACTGTGCGTTTTATCTCCTACATTTTTTAACATATATGGCGAAACTATGATGGGGGACTCCCTAGATGAGGTGAAATTCTTGTTGGGGAAGATCAAATAAGCAACTTACGCTGTATGTACTGATTTAGTTGGGTTTGGTTGACACCACCATATTTGCTGTAGCGGAGAAGAAAATGGCAGTTCTCTTAAACATATTAGAGCCAAAGAGTGGAAAGTTTGGTCTAACAATAAACAGAACCAAAACAAAACTAATGATAAGCCTAATGTCGTAAACAGAACTCACCTGCTTGACGATCTCGAAAGGGTAAGCAGCTTTACATATCTGGGGTAAATAATAAGCAACATGGGCGGATGCGTAGAGGAAGTTAAAAGAATAGCCTTGGCCAAAAGTGCGATGCTGAAACTTACCAACATATGGAAAAGCTCATACATAACTAAAAACACTAAAATGAATCTGGTCCGAACGTTAGTCTTTCAAATCTCCTCATATGGCTCAGAATCGTGGACACTTAAAAGAACGCAAATATATTGATTACTTTGAAACGTGGTGCTACACGAGATTGCTTAGAATTCCCTGGACCGCGAGGAGAACTAATCAGTCGATATTGAAAGAGTTAAATGTATCCACCAGACTATCATCATTATGCATGGAGAGAGTGTTGCAGGATTTTGGACACATGGCTAGAAGACGAAATGGCAATATAGACAGGCTTATAATGACGGGAGAAGTACAGGGAAAGAGAAGTAGAGGCCGATCGCCTATGAGATCAAATCAAATAAGTCACAGACGGGTCCCTTCACGCCAGGTTGAAGATCGAGAAATGTGGAAGAAGACAACAGAAAGAAGAATAGAGGCATTCCAAAGAGATCACGGCGCTCATGACTGAGGAAACGAGCAAAGAGAGAGAGAGAGAGAGAGAGATTCAGTACAAGCCGGTCATTTCCGCTTGCTTTCGAGTGTCACCATATTGTGTGTATTTTCGACTAAAAGCACCAGACTCAATCGTGTTTTTAAAAAAAGTTGTGATGGAGTTTAGAACCGGACTTGTTACTTGTTACATAGCATAAGGTAAGTGAATATCTAGGAAAATATGCAGATTGTCATGTAAATGATCATACGACGTAGCAGGCTTGTTATGATTCTTGGTTTTGATTCTAACCATAGCCAATTGAGTGTTCCTAACCAAACCACACTTACGGTCTTTTAAATTTTAGAATTTAAAATCCTAACATAGGTATTCGTTTATCCCATATTTTGTAACAAGTAGGACTGTAAGCTTTACTGAGGCCCCTTTTAACAAAAACCATCTAAACATCTAAGTATTCTGACAACTCGATTTTATAGAAGAATAGGTGTAGTAGGTGTTTCGCGGACTCACTAAAAGACACGAATTGTATAACTGTGTATTGAATATCAATATATATGATCAAGACTTTGTAAAAAATGTGTTTTACCTATCGGAAGCCACAGCAGCTGTTGATACAGCCCAAGAGGAGCCGCACCATCCCTGATCTTGAATACCTGTAATGTACCTAGGCCAATTGACGGAACTGTCAAATTGTCTAGGTAAACTGGCTGGATCGTAGTATCTTTTTACCGGATTCATTCTCATAACGTCTTTCTGAGGTTGTAATGTTCCCAATCTAGAAAAATTCAATCGAAAAAATACAAATCAGCTCGTATTATACCGGGTGCATCTGAAAAGTAGCTCACCCCTACAACTTTTCATTTTTTCAGATAAAAAAGCGAGATTTGGTAATGACATAAATTAGGATTGATTGGCGTATTAAATGTTTTTTGGTCACTTCCTGTTCCACCGGAAATGACTACAACTTTTGGATTTTAAATGACATCCTCATGACACACTGAATTCTGAATAGAATGACATACCATGAAATGTCAACTTTCGTTTAAAAAAATTGTATTTTAAATTTCAATCTAGACTAGTAAAGTAGTATTAAAAACATTAATTTTTAATCCAGGAGCCTTTGAAAATAGATTAATCGTCCAATGTTTTTCGTGTCGTGTCCTGGCCGGTTAAAAGATGCCCAAATCTTATTAATTTGTAATCGTATCTCAATTTTTTCAAATGGAACAAGTGTGGCTCATTAGCATATTTGGAGAAAACAAATTTTTTACGAATAATTTGGTACCACACACTTGGTATTTCGAGTCAAATTGTCGTTATGAACAGTATATTACAATATATATGTTCATTATATTCATTAGAGTCTTATTTTCTATCAAATAAAGTAAAAAATACCGAGGATGTCATTTAAAAATCAACAGTTGTTATTTCCGGTAAAACAGGAAGTGACCGCAAACAATTCAAACACGTCAGTCAATCCTAATTATATTTATGTCATATTCTAACATACCAAATCTCGTTTCTTATCTGAAAAAATAAAAAAGTTAGGGGTAACCCACTTTTGAGACGCACCCGGTATATAATCATGATCAACTGGCTCTCTGTTTAAGGTATTATTTTTACCTGAATCATTAATATAAAAAATATCTACCTCAGCCTAATGCCATCGCCAAGTGTTCTGCCCCAGAACTTTGAGTGGTTTGATGCTCTCCAGCCATGACGAAAATCTGCATTTACGTTGTAAACAATATCAGGCTCAATAAGGCAAACGTTTCTTTCACACAACATCTCGAGAGAGCTGCCAACTTGTGCACATCGACTACAAACAAATTTACTTTAAGTACAAGGAACAAAAAACAGATAGGTATAATTTGCTGTAACAACTGCTGATAATTGGTGTATTATTATAAAACTATCCGAGAAATTACCAGCAAAGAAATAGAGTAAAAATGAAAAACTTACCATTCGTTGCAATTATTTTTTGAAGTTTGGTTAAGAAAAAATACCCTGCCTTCATGGAAACATGACCTTACTTCCTCTGGAGGAGGTCTTGGTGTTGTGGGAGGTAGAGGAGTTGGAAGGTCTATTCCTCTGCAGTAAGACCAAAAATCGGGACAACAGTCGTGCACGTCTGTTCTGTTACAGAAATCATCACAGTAGCATAACGTTCCTGTATATAAAAAACCATTAATACCAAAGATTAGTAAGTAGGTTCTAATAAGACGAAAAAATAATATTTTTACCTATTATAGGTTTTGAACAGGTGTCTTGTCTACTTGTACAGCATCCGATTTGTTCACAGTATGGTCCCCGAAGATCCGCAAAATCATCAATAGGTTGTAATGTGACTAGAGTAAAGAAAGCTGCGAACAGAACACTGCTGGTCCAAATTATCCAATTTGATCGCATCTAGAACAAATAAAATCATTTAGGTGCTAAATATTTAACAGTTATAGAGTAAAAATTAATTAATTAATTAGTGATGAACAAGACTGGTCTTGTGGTATTGGTCCTGGTCTTACACAAACAGCAAGACCAAACTTGACCAAACCAAGACTAGCGTTTGATCCTAGCGTTTTTACCTGTTTGTATGATGGTATTATATAGGAAATTTCTTATTTGTTCAAAATGATTGTTTTAATTTATTACAAATAGTGTTTCCCGACTCTTGCATACAATTTTAAAAAAGAAATGCTGTCGATACGATATATTAAAAAAATAAAGTTTCATTTGCACTGATTTACTAAAATACAATAATTTATTTAAACATGTATTTCAAAGTCCGGCAATAGTGTGCCGGGCATCTCTAGCTCCTAGAATAAAAAACCTTTTTGTTTAAGTGCTAACCTAAAGTATGTACGAGCCTATATAAACAAGGGTACGAGGATGTATCTTCTATAGGGTGACTTAAAAAAGTATGAGTTTGGGATGATTTTTTTAAATGGAACACCCTGTATTTTATTGCATTTTTGTTAATCCTAAGATATGAGTAAATATATTTTTGATAATTTCAGAGATATTAATAAATTAAAAAATATATATTTTTTTCAACCTTCCTTAAAAAATTATTACAAATACAAGAATGGTCGTGAAATCAAAACTGTATTAGGTATTCAATATTCAATCATGCAGGGTGTTCAAAATTCTACTCCAAACTTTTTACAATATAAAATAATTTTTCTTTATTTTTTTTAAATGGAAAACCCATATACTACAGGGTTTTATTATTTTTTAATAAGATGGAGAGTTAAAAAATTAACATTTTTTGTATATAAAGTATTTCAAAATTTTGAACGGTTTTGCAGATACACGCAGTATTACTTCATGTGACTCTTTCAACGGTAAAATACAAGAGAAAAATCATTGCATGGCTTTGATAAAAATGTACTGTGGAAAATACCATATGAAATATAAAACCGCGAATATCTGCAAAACCGTTATAAATTTTTTGAACACTCTAAATACAAAACAAGTTCATTGTTTAATTCTGCGTCTATTGAAAAAATAATATTATTAAAATTCTCCATCTATTAAAAAAAGGAAGAAAAATTAGTTTATATTTTAGAAAGTTTGGCATAGAATTTTAAACATCCTGTATGATTTACGATTACCATAATTATTGCAAAGTAAGTACAGACTATTTGAAGTAAATACCTTAATATAGTTTTCATTTCAGGCCAGTTCTGGTTTAATATTTTTTTTAAAATAGGCTGAAAAATATATTTTCTTATTAATTTATTAATATCTCTGAAACTATCGAAATATACCATATGATCGAAAAAAAATGGCGTCCAGTTGGCTTGGAAATGACGATCGATGACATTTCCCATATAATTTTACATATAAAATGACAGCGATCTTCATTTCATAGCCATCGCTGACGCCGTTTTTATTCAATCATACGGTATTTACATATCTTAGAATTATGTAAAGTGATCTGAAATGAAAAAAAAAATCTGAAAAAAAGCGAAAAATGCAATAATATACAGGGTGTCTTCCATTTAAAAACAATCATCCCGATGTACTCACACTTTTATGAGCCACCCTGTAGAAGGTAAAATATTTTCCTGAAAAACAAAATTCCCAAGTTCCCTGTATGTAGAAAGTGCCTCTACTAAAGATGTATTAAAAAATGCAAAATTTGCAATAATCTTGCGGCAAGACCACAACCAAGACTATATACTTATTACTTATTAACTGCATGACCAAGGGAGTCTTGGTCTTGCATTTGCTCATCACTAGTAAAAATCCATTGACTGTGAAATAGCAAAAACTGATCTATGTAAGTGTCTATTTTACTGAATATTCTGTTTCTAAAGAAATATTTTGATGAAATACAGCTATACACTAAGTAATCCCATAATAATAAATTATAAAGAACTAATATCCACATCAAATAAATTAAATAAATTAAGACATCTTATGAATCCGATTTGTTAATGCCTCTATAAGTACAGTACATTTATTAGAATCCATAGAATCGTTTTAATACCATTTATATCGATTAAGATAGATATAGTCTATAAAAGCACTTAATGCAGCTCGAGCAGTGCGGGTTCAGGGTTAAAATTTAAGTGAATCGTCAATGAACATAAAATAGTTAAAATATAAATCTGAATATTTTGTAGCGAGGTCTGTTGGGATGTGTTAGATGTCGACAAAGATTTTATTTAGATAGAAAAGTATTATCTGTGGTATTATGTGAAACATTTGTTGATCTGTGAGTTGTGCCAGGGATCAACGAATTCAAGGACTCCTTCACTGGTTTTTCTTAGAAAAGTATTCCAATTCCATAATATTGTTTAAAAGCTACATATATATATTTCCGATTGTTAGTTTTCAAATCGTCACTCTGTATATTAGGAAGTTGATAATACAAAAAAAAATTATTTCTTTGCTGATGGCTGAATATCACAAGAATTATAGTTTTATAATATTTAAAGCACTTTATATTTAAATTCTTTTGATAAGAAGAAGCCATACTGGTTTTAATTGCCTATTAAAGCAAGTAGTAAAATGGCAAATAAACAGAAGGAGTGACGTATGCAGCTGCTTGAATAAAATAAAAACAATGCTGGAGTTATATTTGTAACACAAAGGCATCAATTTCTTTTAATCCATTTGTAACTGTAACATTGTACTTAAACAAACTGATATCTATTTTTCTTGGATTTATTTACGTTTCAAAACCCTATGTGATGCAGTTTTTCAGAAATACGTCTGAGGTTTTCTTCCCTTATTTTTAAATTTGGAATTTAAAAAAAAATAGAAATTTTTTTAATTTTAAGTTAAAAATCATAATATCTTCATAATACGGCAACATCAGTAGTATATAAAATTTACAAAAAAAAATCCCAGAAAAGATGGTGGTTTTCAAAATATAACCAAAAAATAATTTTTCTCTTAAATTTTCAAAGTAAAATAATTTGGTTATTAGGAGTTATCTGAAATAGGGTAAAGAGAAAAATATGTTTCTTTTATTGATATCTACCAGCCTATATTCCATTCTAAAAAATTCAAGCATTTAAAATTATTATCTAATAAAATGTAATACTAAACAAATTAGATCATAAAATTATTTGCTTTTGGTACATCACGATTTTAATCGAATTCTTTTTTTATTATTATCTAAATATGTCTCACGTTGAAAAAATGCTCACTTTGTTTACATACTTACGTTACGTCAACGTGTTATAAACTGGAATGACTTAATGTATTTTGAAAGCAAAGGTTTCATACCTGAGTAAATCCATATGTTTGGATACGATCCAAACAAAATATCAACATTAATATAAGAGCCTCTCATTACATATTTTTTAGTGTTTAATAATTTAAATATTAATTTCTATTATAATCCTATACTGCCCTCAAAGTTAATTTTTTTTTGTTTAATTTACCGTCCTCTGCCTTGTAATCAGTGGTAGTTCAATACTTGAGGGCGCACAACCTTAGAAAAAAAAATTATAGGCTCAAATTGTCAATCTAAGGCTGCAAATTAAAGAATATAATTTTATTAAAAATCTAAAAAACTGTGCAAAAGAAATAAGGGGCCCACAGCGGCGTAACAAAGATAATAAACTGACTGATAAGACGAAAGCACTAATAAGGCACTAATAGGCACACAATAAGAAAGGGGATTGCAGAAGACATCAAAAACTACAATGAAAAACTTGTACAAACAGCAATTGAACACAGAAAAAGCTATAAGAACGCTAAGAAATACCTCATCAACAACATCAGAATAACAGGCAAGAACGAAATAATAAGCCTGGTAACAAAATTCTGTACATAAATCTACTGAAAACATACATGAAGAAGAAAGACTGTCCCTGCCACAAGACGACGCCAGAAGAAGTTGTCGTGGGAGAAGTAGAAAAGGTGCTTCAAGATATGAAAAATAGAAAAGCAGCAGCGAATGCTGGAATAGCAGCTCAAATACTTAAGTACGCCGCGGTAGCAGAACTTGGAAAATCCTAGCGAATATACACCACTTATCTAAGAGAATACATATACCGCAAGACTGGAATAGAGCCAACATAATTCTAATACAAAAGATAGGTAGACCAATAAGCTACTACCAGTAACATACAAGATATTAATAAAAATAATAAACAACAGAATACAGAACACGCTAGACGCTGAACAACTATGAGAACAAACAGGCTTTAGAGCTTTAAGAAGTGGTTTCAGCACGATTGATCACATACATACACTAAGAGAAACTATGAGCCGAACGAAAGAATACTTCCACTAGCCATAGCCTTTATAGACTTTGCGAAGGCTCGATATATTCTAAGGCAATAATAGAAACCCTAGCGAAACAAGGTACTGGACAGGCCTTATACAGAAACTCTCGCCAATATATACAAAGAGGCAAGGGTAATGATATATAAAGCAACACCAGAGTTCTCAACTGACAAAGGATTACGTCAAGGAGATGCGATATCCCCAAAGCTGTTTACAGCAACACTAGAAAAAATCGTCCGTCAACTGGTTTGGACCAACAGAGGATAAAACATATATGGAGTACCTATATCTGAACCAATTAAGATTAGCTGATGACATTGTCCTAACCGCCAATGGTCCTGAGGAACAAGCACAAATTAACGAACTAAATACAGCCAGCAATAAAGTAAGTTTCAAAATTAATTTAGCAAAAACTAAAGTAATGTTCAACGAAAAGACATTCTAATAAATAACACAACACTGGAAATATTAGATGAACATGTTAAATATTTGGGACAACTAAGACACAGCTCGGAATCCCTACTACCAGAAATCAACAGAAGAATTAAGTTAGCATAGGGAGCATACTTTTTGAAGAAACCCAATCATATTCAAATCTAGAATGCCACTTTATCTAAAGAGAAAACATTCGACCAATGTGTACTACCGGTCATGACCTATGC